AATGTCACAAATAAACATCATCTAGTATGTCACAAATGTCTCTTTCCAGCGTGACACCCGGACAAAAGTATAAGATCAATGAGTACGCATATTTTGCATATCTACAATACAAAGTGCATAATCTTTTATCTTACGGAGATAATAAAAAAATTCTGAAGCTCGAGTATCGTTCACCGTCAATTAACAACGAAAGCAAGATTGAGTTCATCAACTATGAGCACAAGACAGATGCAAATGTAAGGGCTATGTGAAATATATTTTTCTGTTTCGAAAGAAAAAGTTTTGATCGAGGTGGAAGCGACAATTTCAAGATCGGTCAAAGATATTGTGAAGATATTGAAGCGTTCACTTGGATATTGAAATGCATTGTCTAATTTTATGTTAACATCACCTATGTAATGTTGATTTTATGTTATGAATGATTATTTTATTTTGTCAAAATACAACTTTCTGATTTTCAGATTCTGTTTCTGTTTCAGTATGCTACGGAGATGTATCTACGGATAGATTCCGAAGATGCGTTTCCAAATTAAAAAATGTCACACTCCTTAAATGTGACTTATAATTAACTTTAGATATATGTGTTTGAGATGCATCAAAAGATACATCTCCGAAATCTATAAATATTTTTATATTTTCACGTGATATTCTAATAATATATAAAAGCTAGTGAATTAAAAAATCTCCTACATCCTTATAATTTATAAATAAAAGGGGGATCATAGAGTATATACAAAACCAGCCTATCTATTGGGCCCAAGCAGGGCAGCTCTATTTATAAAATAAAGTTGGATCTTTTATTCTTACTATCCTCTTTTTACATTTCCACCCTTAAACGAGTTCTTGCCCATACAGTAAGGGTAATATTGAGTTGAGACAGACATTCTAAAATCTAATGCATATATTGTACATGGGCGAAGCTGATTAAGATGATATTTTACATAAGCACCCTTGGCCTTGGCACTAATATCAAAATATGCCTGATTAATAACAACAATTACACTATAAAATTATTTTTGTTTAGAATACGACAAAGCTCAACATGAGTAAACATGGAACCCCAAAAGAGACAGCACTCATTAGTCAAATTAGTCAAAGATGAGAATAATTAACAGCTAGAAAAAATAAAGTGGAAAAGTGTCTTTTATAAGTCCATGCATGAGTGCAAAACTAGAACGAGGGCAAGATGGTAATATCATCCAAAGACAGAACATATTATAGATAAAACAAGTTAGCATATTATGAGGCAGTTTGAATGAATGCCAATCATATTCTGCTAGCTGTTTTGTCAATGTTGTGTTAAATGATGAAGATGAAATAATTGCTCTGAAAATATAATGTAGCAAACTTAATTAACAATAAAGTATGATATTGGATAATTTATTTGTCTCGAAAAGTTTACTTTTATTTAATTTTCCACTACCGACGGATTGGAAAAAGCTAGTGAAGACAGAAGATTAGAGAAAAGAAAAGAAGGTAGGTTTCTTTAGTAGAAAGACGGAATAAAGTGATGGCAGGTGGTTGTTTGTACTTTGTATAGAAATGGTGGAGTAAAATATCATAATCTAGTTGAAGTAGGTACGTATATTATATAGTCCAATTAATTGATTCTAAGATTAAGAATAGACCTAGTCAAATGAGTTTTTATAAAATAGAAGTTTAAGATTGATTTGATCAAAACACTATATGAATCTGTCGGTATCTAACATTTGTATGATATTTTTATAAGACGTGTCAAAAAAATCAAACAGAAAAGTCAAACTGATATTTTTTCAAAATAATTTTTTTTCTTTGTTTTGTCACTTTCTGAATCAATGTCAAACATACGTAAATTTTTTTTTCTTTGTTTCACCACACCTTTATATAGTTTTTGACAAATCTCACACATATCTAATAGGTTTAAACATGTATTGAAACAATATATTCGATAAAAAGTTAAATACATTAATTTTGATTAGAAAATTTTCAACTCTTTTAATCTTAATTCGATAAATGAAATTCAAATACTATGCTGCACTGTCAATATCTTATATTTTTGATATTATTAATGTCAAAATATCCATGTTGTATTGTGTCCTAGTGTCTCTGTCAAAGTAAACATTTAGAACTTAAGCCTAATTACCTATTCTATGCGGTAGATTTACTTTTTTAAGTTTAAGTCTAAATTCATCAAATGAGACAAAAAAGTAAGTTACGTTCATAATTTTAAGTAAGTTACGTTTATAATTTTAACACACCCACAATTTTGTGATATTTGTATCTAGAAATATTCTATACATAATTTTGATGTTGTTCCACGTTTACTCATCTATAGCACAATCATATCATTATGTACCACGATGAAATAACTTTGATTAACCATAGATTGTCGATGCCTAGGTTATTTGTTCGGAAGTGTCTTTGTCTTCTATTTTGGCTACAAGTTTATAGTAACAGTGGCAATTTACAACAGTACATCTACTTTGTAACAAGCCAACATATCATATAATTCCAATTTTAGGACAGACTTGTGCTCCTTATGTCATGGAGCTTTCCATGAAGTTCCAACACCAATTCCTCGTGGACTCTCCATACATGCCACAGGATTAACATATCATTCATAAACATTTCGCACATATAGTTTCTTTTCATTCGCATAATGTACACTACAAAAAAATGCTGCATTTCCCTAATGAATTAGTGACGTGGTAAGTGGGAAAAAAATTGTGTTGCCAAGTGATAACCATGTCACTAACATTTTTTATTAATAAACTTTGCTATGTCAAACTCTGAAACGAAAATTTGGAATTTTAAGGGAGAGGGAAATTTGAATTTCCACAAATTCTGTTGTGGCATGTTAACCACTTGGGAAGTTAAAATTCAAAAACGTCAAAAAATACCCACATGAATTTCACTTCGCAACACACGTACATCAATAATTATATTCCCGTTGGGTTGGCATTTAGTGGACCAACGGTAATAATTTAATATTGGGGGATGTTCCGTCTTTAAATTCACGTCGCAAATTTCTGATGTGAATGCCACGTCGCAAGCTTTATGAGATTAGTTGGGAATTAATGAAAATGAAGTTGCGACCTTCATTTCACGTCGCTAATTTCTGAAGGGTTTGCCACGTCGCAAACTACCCACCTGGCCTGCACGTCGCAACTTTCTGATGTTAATGCCACGTCGCAACCTCCCTTATATAAACCAAATCTCAGAATTTCTTCAAGTCCTCGTCTCTTGCAAACCTCCCACATCTCCTTCTTCTTCCCCCTTTCTTCCCCCTTTGTTTTTCTCTTCAGCTGCTGTGTTGGTGTTGTTACCTCAACAAAGTTTCATTTGCAAAAAATTTAAGGTGATATATTAGTTGGTTTTGTGATTGTTTCATGTTATAATTTATTTTATATTTTTTTATTATTAATATTAACTGTTAATTTTTTTTTCTTCAGATCTAACAATTTTATAGAAAGTCCTCTATATTGGAAGCTTAATTAGAGGTATTTATGAATTTTAATTTGTTTATATTTATTATGTATTGTATTGTTGTTGAAAACTTTGATAGTTAGGTTTAAAAATTTTAAATTTTAGAAATATTGTGATATAATGTATTGTATATTGGGTTTGTTGTTGTTTTAAATTTTAGAAAGCAAAAATAAAAATAATATGTTATGTGATTTTTAATTTAAAAAATAGATTATTTATTTGAAAAAAATTTTTAAAAAAAATTTATATTATGTTGTGTCATTTTTAAACAGATTTTTAATTAAATAATATGTTGTGTGATTTTTAGTAAATCAATTATACTTATAAATAGAATAATATATATTATTAAATAGTTATTATAATTTAGTAAACATAATATATATTATTTTAATAAAACAGTTTTTTAAATGTATAGTGAATATATATTATGAATATAAAAAAACAGTTTAAAATATATAATGAATGTATAATGAATATAATAAAACAGTTTTTTAAATATATAATGAATATAATAAAACAGTTTTTTAATATATATTATTTTAGTAAACATAATATATTATTAAATTATAATATATTAATAAAACAGTTTTTTAAATAATAAAACAGTTTTTTAATATATATTATTTTAGTAAACATAATATATTATTAAATTAATGAATATAATAAAACAGTTTTTTAAATAATAAAACAGTTTTTTAATATATATTATTTTAGTAAACATAATATATTATTAAATTATAATATATTAATAAAACAGTTTTTTAAATAATAAAACAGTTTTTTAATATATATTATTTTAGTAAACATAATATATTATTAAATTAATGAATATAATAAAACAGTTTTTCAAATAATAAAACAGTTTTTAAATATATATTATTTTAGTAAACATAATATATTATAAAATTATAATATATTAATAAAACAGTTTTTTAAATAATAAAACAGTTTTTTAATATATATTATTTTAGTAAACATAATATATTATTAAATTAATGAATATAATAAAACAGTTTTTTAAATAATAAAACAGTTTTATAATATATATAAGAAACAAAAAATAATATATTAGAAACAAATTAAATATGTTATGTATTTTTAATTTTTAAAAACAGAATATTTATTATGTTAGAAAAAATAGAATTTTAAAAAATATTTTTAGTAAACAATATTGTAAATAGAAAAAATTAATATATATTTTTTAAAAATATAAAGAATATGTATTATATTTAAAAAGTGTTATTTTTAAATGTATTACATTATTTTTACACATTCAATTATTAAAAACAGATTTTTAAAAATAATAAATATATATTATACTTTAAATATGTTATTATTAGTATAATATATTATTTTAGTGAATTTATATTATACTTTAAAAATAATGAATATATATTATACTTTATAAAATTATAGTGAATATATATTATACTTTAATGAATATATTATAATTTAAAAATAATGAATATATATTATACATTAAAATTACATATTTTATTAAAATGATATATAATGATAGTACAAATTTCTGCAGTATGGAATATTTTCGTTACTATCGTAGTTGGATGTACGATAGAACGTTACCAGGCAGACGTGGACTTACGACAAATTTTGAGGAAGGAGTTAAGGGGTTTATCGCGTGGGCATTTGCACAAGAATGTTGTCGACGTGTGGGAGGAATGAGATGTCCTTGTCTTAAATGTGAATGTAGACGTATAATTAGTGACCCAGAGGAAGTAGAACGTCATTTGAAGAGGAAGGGTTTCATTACAAATTATTGGGTTTGGACATATAATGGAGAACAACTGCCGAGTAACGTACATGCAGAGACAACTAATACAGACGCATCAAGCAGTCAATCACATATGGAATTTGATGAACAATTTAATCTGATCGATGAAATGGTTGGTAATGCATTTGGAGTAAATGTGACATATGATGAACCTCAGGACTTTGATGGTGAAGAGTTGCCGAATGAGGAAGCACAAAGATTTTACCAATTGTTGAAAGAAATGAATACACCGTTGTTTGAGGGGTCGGCAGATTCAAAATTATCAATGTGTGTGAGATTATTGGCTGCAAAGTCAAATTGGAATGTTCCTGATCAGTGTTTGGAATACTTTGCAAAAATGATGTTGGATGCGACTCCTACGAAAGACAACTTGCCTACAAGTTATTATGATGCAAAGAGGTTGGTGTCGAAGTTGGGTTTAGAAGTGCGAAAGATTGATTGTTGCATAAATGGATGTACGTTGTTTTATGACAATGAGTTTGGTATTAATGATGAGGCGCTGGAGGAATGTAAGTTCTGTAAGAGTCCGAGATATCAAGTTCGTAGTAAAGCCATTAACCGTAAACAAAAACGTGTAGCAGTGAAGTCCATGTTTTATTTGCCGATAATACCAAGGTTAAAAAGATTGTTTGCTTCAATGCATAGTGCAAGTCAAATGACATGGCATCATACAAACAAAACATCTTCAGGCATTATGCGGCATCCATCTGACGGTGAGGCATGGAAACATTTTGATAGGGTACATTCTGATTTTGCTGCAGAACCTAGAAATGTCAGGCTCGGACTATGCTCTGATGGTTTCACTCCATACGTCCAAGCATCTGCAATTGCATATTCCTGTTGGCCAGTTATCGTAACCCCTTACAACCTCCCTCCAGAGACGTGCATGACAAAACCATACATGTTTTTGACTTGCCTCATTCCAGGACCGTCAAGTCCTAAATCCGGAATCGACGTTTATTTGCAACCTTTAATAGATGATTTGAAGAGGCTGTGGATTGGAGAATGGACCTATGATATATCTCGCAAACAAAACTTCACTTTGCGAGCTGCCTTGATGTGGACTATTAATGAATTTCCCGCTTATGGAATGTTATCTGGTTGGGGTACGCACGGCAAAATGGGATGTCCACATTGCATGGAATTTACAAAGGCTTTTACTTTGGAATTTGGAGGGAAACGTTCGTGGTTTGACTGTCACCGCAGATTCCTACCACGAGACCATGTATTTAGAAGAAACAAGACTGATTTCAAAAAAGATGTACGAGTAAAAGATTTGCCTCCTCCGCGCTTGTCACCAGAGGAAATATGGAATCGAGTTTCTGAACTGCCCAAATTTACAGATTACGGTGAAGCATATAGAATTGAAGGATATGGGGTCAAACACAATTGGACAAAAAGAAGTATATTTTGGGACCTCCCATATTGGAAAGATGATTTATTGCGACATAATCTTGATGTTATGCATATTGAAAAGAATTTCTTCGATAATATATTTAACACAGTGATGGATGTTCAAGGAAAAACAAAGGATAATGAGAAGGCTAGAAGGGACATGGAAATTTTGTGTGATAGAAAAGAGTTGGCGTTGAAGCCTCGGCCTAATGGAAAATTATTAAAACCTAAGGCATGTTACAGTCTAACTTCCCAAGATGCTAAAGCGGTTTGTCGATGGTTAAATGAATTGAGAATGCCGAATGGTTATGCTTAAAATTTAGCAAGGTGTGCTGACACCAAAACTGGGAAGTTGCATGGAATGAAAAGTCATGATTGTCATGTTTTCATGGAACGATTGCTTCCAATTGCGTTCAGTTCACTACCCAACCATGTGCTATATCCGCTAACTGAAATAAGTCAATTTTTCAGAGATATTTGTGCGTCAATTTTAAGAGTCGATAACATCATTAAGTTGGACCAAAATATTCCAGTTATTCTATGCAAGTTGGAACGCGTTTTTCCACCTGGTTTTTTCGATTCTATGGAGCATCTACCTGTGCATCTTGCATATGAAGCCTATCTTGGTGGCCCCGTTCAATACAGGTGGATGTATCCCTTTGAAAGATTCATGGGTGATTCAAAGCGATCAGTGAAAAATAAAGCTAAAGTTGAAGGATCAATATGTGCACATTATTTGCATCGGGAAACATCACATTTTTGCAGTCATTATTTCAATCATTTGATGTTAACTCCAAGAATCATAAGGAATGAATTTGATGTTAACAAAAGAAGTCAGTTTACCTTGTCAATCTTCGGTCTTCCTGGTCGCCCCTCTGGAAAGGAGAATGTGCATTGGCTGACCCAAAAAGAATTGCAATCTGCACACGTTCATGTTCTTATTAACTGTATTGAAGTTAGGCCATATCTTGAGTAAGTATACCCCTAACTTATCTACTTATCTGGCTTTACAAATTGAATTATTACATCTAACTTAAAATGTGTTTCTTTATAGGGCATTTAACGCCTCCTATTTTCAAAGCACCGGTGAACAAGTAACTACCGGTCAAATACATGCATCTTTTCCAGCATGGTTCAAGGATCAATTGTCATGCATTGTTGCATCGACTCAAGAAATACTTCATTTGCGTAACTTATCTAGAGGGCATGTTCAAAGAGCAATTGAATGGCACACATACTTTGTAAACGGCTATAAATTTCACACCCAAACGTGGACAGAAGGGAAAAAAACCATAAATAGTGGTGTATTTGTTAAAGGAGTTACAAATGGTGGTGAAGACGACTTCTATGGCGTTGTTACGCATATTTACGAGTTGGCATACAATTACTTGGACTCGGAAAATAGAGTTGTCTTGTTTTATTGTGATTTGATCCATCTTCCAGGGGCACAAAAATAGATAAGAAATATAACATTGTTGATATTCGAATGGACATAAGGTACAAAGAGTATGACCCTTTCATAATGTCACATATCGTTAAACAAGTTTATTATGTTCCGTACCCTTCAATTCAGTCACGTAAACGTGGATGGTGTGTTGTAATCAAAACAAAACCATTGGGTCATATTGAAACTGACGATCTAGTGGAAGATGCTGCTTACCAAGAAAATGAAATTTCTCAAATTAATGATGTGGTTGAAGTTGAAGAAATTACGAATTTGTGTGATACATTGGTCGAGGGTCATCAAATTGATGCGTCTGTTTTGTTGGTAGATAATAATGTGGACGAAGAGCATGAAGATATTGGATCTGAGGACATTATTGGATCAGATGATGAAAATAATATGGCCGAAGAGCATGAAGAGGTTGAATAGATAGTTTTATATGTGTTCGGACAATTTTTATTAATGTATTATTTGTTTTATATGAATGCAAATGTATTATTTACGTATTATTTATTTACGAAGAGCATGAAGAGTCTTCTTGATTTATTTACGTATTATTTATTTATTGATAACTATTTCAAAATAGATACAATGCCACCCCGAACTGACAAGGGTAAGGCTAAGGAGACCCAGCCTCGTTCGAGAGCCAGAGTACGTGAGGTACCGCCCTCGCCCATGTATGCTTCTCGCCCACAGTCTCAGGCAGATCTAATGTCCGTAGACACTTCACAGCCATTTACGACATTACTCTCCTCCTCCCAAACGATTCCATCTGGGAATTCATCGTTTATTAGTCCGTTTGGGGGATCCTTCATGCATCCGCTTGGGGTACCATCTACGTTTACGCAGCGGTCTGGGGGATCTAGTTTTCCTGGGGGATCTAGTTTTCCTGGGGGATCTAGTTTTCTTCCTCAGCAGTATTCCTTCGCACCGCAGCCTAGGGGATCTAGTTTTCCTCAGCAGACTCACTTCGCACAACCTGTGGGATCTATTTTTCCTCAGCAGTATTCCTTCACGCCGCAGCCTTTAGGATCTAGTTTTCCTCAGCCGACACCCTCCACGCCCCAGCCAGAGGGATCTGGCTCCCGCATTCCACACCCCACACATATACCTGCGCGTCAGCAGTAGGATGACTACACTGTTCAGGGGGATGACGATGTTCATGAGGAGCAGACAAATCCTGTTGCAGAGGAGCATTTGGTGGTTGAAGGACGACATCTGATTAGGCCTGAGGGATCTGGGTATGTTTTTAATTTATAATATTTATTTAGCTATATATTGTCATTTTATGTTTAATACTCGTTCAAATTATTGTTGTTTAGTTTTGATCCGTGTCGTCCTGCTGCTAAAGCTGTAAACTGGGTCATTCAATTGATGTATACAAAACTCATTAAGTCTTTCGGAGAGCTCCCAAATAATAAGAAAGATATATGGTTTGATAAATTCAAGGTAAATTGTATTTTTATTATAGTTATGTTATTTTATCACGATTTTTTTATATATATCTAACATTTTATTTGACTGTCATATAACTTGCAGGAAAGGTGTACTTGGCAGAAATTTGACGAGTTCAAAATTAAAAAAAATTTCAAAAGTAAGGTATCTAGCAGATTATCTGACATGCTTAGGAATGCTAGACAACGTTGGGAAAGAGATCAAACTCGTCCTAACTGGATAGGCGAGGAAATATTTGGTGAGATTGTTGAGTGGTGGAAGACAGAAAATTTTCAGAGAAGATCTGAACATGCTAAAAAGATGAGAGCATCTGAAGCAGGTGGCTGTCTTAATACAGTTGGAAGTATCAGTATCGGCGAACATCGTCGAAGAATGGTAATTATAACTATTTTTTAAAGTTTTTTGTATTATTATATATTTAATTAAGCTTCATTATTTTAATTAGAAAAAGGACTTGGGGAGGGAGCCACGAATTAATGAGCTATTTGTGAAGACCCGAACCAAAAAATCGGGCGACTTTATTGACGGTCGTTCCAAATCAACCTTGGTAACTTGTTTATTATAGTTGAATTCTTTTAATTTCATAATTACTATATAATTAAATTGTTTAAATTATATTTAATTTTTTTTTTAATGTGTGTGTAGGAGTTGTACCAGACATTGCTTGCCCAATTTCTAACTGAAAATCCTCAATATACGCCGATTGGGGATGCACCGCTTGATCCACGCGTTGATCTTTATATTTGGAATTTAACAGTAGGCGGGAAGAGAGTTAATTGATTTTTTTTTGGTCTGGGGTCTTTGGCTGGTGATTATAGAAAAGGGGACCGAACTTTATTTCAGAGACTTGATGATGGGGAAGGAGGATCGCGTCCGGCAGAATTGACACCAGAAATGTTGGTAACAGTGAGACAGTTAGCTCTAGCTGAGGCGAGACGAGAGGCGGAGACACGTGAGGCGACCCTAAAGGCCGAAATGGATGATATGAGAAATAGACAAAATGCTGAAATCGAGGAAATGAGGAAGCGGCAATCAGACATAGAGGCACAAATGCGAAAATATTTTGCCTCGAGATCGAATTATTCTCCCGAAGATGATCACCAAAGCGAAGATGAATTATTTAGTGGCGAAGAATAATTTTTTTTATTTATATTTTTATTTGTGACGTGAATATTACGTCACAACTTTTATTATTATTATTTGTATTTGTGACGTGAATTTCATGTGACTAAATATTTATATATTTTTAATGTATATTATTTTAATTAAAAATTATTTTAATTTTAAATTTATATTTAATATTTAATATTTATTTTAATTTTAACGTTGTTTTCAGTTAATATTATTTATTTCTTTTTATAATTAAATTTAACAGTGAAGTGGATCCCATGTCACTAATTAGTGACGTGGGAAAAACATGGGAAAAATATTAATTCTGTGAGGTTTTCCACGTGATAACAAGGTCACAACTTTGTGACGTGGGAATCACATGGGTACTAAATTTACTTTGTGTTAGGAAAACGTGCAGAGCAATTTGGTAAAGGTAAGTTTCCACATGACTTTCACGTTACTAATTAGTGACGTGGTTTTCACGTGGGAAGTTTTCTTCTTTATTTTGTGATTTGTGACGTGGTAATCCTGTCACAACTTTGTGACGTGTTTTCCACGTGGGAAAAAGTTCCCACCATTGCATTTCCGGCGTGTTTTACCCACGTTGCAACCATTGGCTAGTGAAGTGATTTTTACATTAGTGACGTGAATATCACTTGGGAAAAGGCAATATTTCTTGTAGTGGTATTAGAAAGATCTTAAATTTTATATTGGTTAGATTTTAATTTTTATATATATATATATATATATATATATATATATATATATATATATATATATATATATATATATATATATATATATATATATATATATATATATATATATATATATATATATATATATATATTTTGACATACTTCACCTTACGAGTCGGTTTCATAAAGATGAGTTATATCAAATTCTAATATTGTATCAAAGCTCATCGATCGAACCATGAGCCGCCTACCAATAATATCTATGCACCAAGTTCAAGAATGTTGGGCGTAAGGAGATGTATTAAAAAGATCATAAGTTACTTATTGGTTAGACATACACCTCACCTTATGAGTCAGTTTTGTAAGAATGAGTCAAGTTAAACTCTAATATAATGTAGGACTAGAAAAAGGATTTTGTGTCTTCTATTAGATAAAATAACTCAATTCTATATTGTACGATTATAATGTGCACGGTAAGTAATCAGTTTAGAATTTAACCCTCTGATGACACTAGGACTAGTTGAATATGGTATAATACCATTCTTATTATCTATTTTTTATACTAGTCGTAGATGGCACGAAGAAAACACTAAAAAATAGAATTTTTTTTAAATGAAGTGGAGACTAGAGAGAGGAGAGAGACTTGAGGGGGAGTGTTGAGAATAACATGTCAAGTGTGAGTTGGAGTCTCAATTGGTTATAAATATGGAGTTGAGCATTTATAAGTAAGGGAACCTATACACCTATAATCTTAAGGTTTTGGGTGAATATGTGGTGTGTCTCTTACTTGTGTTACTCTTGGCTCAATATTGATGCTCCTTCTCATACCCCAACAAATGGTATCATGAGTCTTTGCTTCGTAAAGGGACCAACTTACATGTATCCAAATGCCCAGGAAATGGTGTCCCTTTGAAATCAAAATGCCCGAGAAGAGGTGTATCGAAATGCCTAGTAAGAGGTGTCTAGTAATAGGTGTCAACAGCGATACAAGTGTATGCGGACAAGAGTTTCCACTTGAGAGGGGGCATTGTGGACTCACACTTAAGGGGAAGTGTTGAGAATAACATGTCAAGTGTGAGTTGGAGTCCCACATTGGTTATAAATATGGAGAGTTGAGTATTTATAAGTGGGAGAACCCATACACCTATCACCTTAAGATTTTGAGTGAATATGTGGTGTATCTCTTACTTGTGTTGCTCTTGACCCAATGTTCAATGCTCCCTAGTAAAAAACTGCCTCAACAAAAATCTCTATTTATAAGTAAAAATATGACCCGAATGAGAGAAAATGTGGGAGGAAAAGGGAGTGGATCCGACCAAAAACTAGCAGTTATGAAACTTGGGAGGCAAGATAAAATTATGGAAAATTGGTCAAAAACTAAAATCATGGTGGTGCTCCAATGTTTCATGGTGGTGCGTCCTCACCCTTTAATAAAATTGCATATCCTTTAAAGCACACCTTAAGATCAAGATTCAAATTTCCCATATATAAGCATTTAGTGTGACATCCATCCAATGTAGGATGTTAAGGAACTTTTTGAAGTTTACCTCTATACATAAAACTCTTACTTGTGTTTATTATTTTTAATTTAATGCCAACAGTCATTTCCAATTCCCCGCTAGACCTTTCATTTCCAACACCAATAAACAAAATCCTCAAAGTTTAGTCAATCACACTAAACATCCAACCCTTTTGATTTTTGAATGTTTTATCGCCTCATTAAATAGTAAAAAGGGTTGGATACACTTAG